TGGTTCGTTGAGACATACAATCAGATGAAAGGAGATCGGAAAAAACTTGAAGGAAGGAGAAGTCGCGATCGGGAATGGGAGAAGAGAAGAGATAAAATGTGTAATTGGGTTTTTTGGTTTAGATTCGATTATCCGTTCGATTACTGATAACCGATCTGATACCCGATCTCGATTTTACCTTGCCGAACGGATAGTAACTAATAACCGAACAACAACCGAAACAACCAAAACCTGGTTCGGTTCGGGTAAAAATCCCAGAACTAATACCAATTATCACATTACAAATCTTTTAGAGAAGAGTAGAGCTAAGATAAAGATAAGAAGTTTTGGGTTTGATGTGCCAAAAAAATATAAAGTAAAATTGAACATAGATAACGAACTGAAACGTGTGAAAATCAATAAGAGACAATGCCATCCGCATTCGGCTCAATGCGATAAAAGCAATTGCTCGGACTTTCCTTTAATAAGGTATGAATAGGTATATTGTAGATAAGCATAAATGGTATGAAATCATATCATTCAACAGATAATTTCTTTAAAATCGTTCTTGAACTCAAATCACTAAAGTATAATTGGTCTGTTCTCGTAGTATCAACTACTATGTTAGCATTCTAAATCTCTAAACTCTTGTTTGATATTTAAGAAGTGAAACATACAGTAAGTTCAAGTTCGATTTGTTTACAAAACTCCATCACTCAACTTTCTTTTGTTAATCTAGACGATTTGTTCATCTAGATTATTTCAGACAATTTAAAAAACTTTCGATGAATAAATTATTTTAGAATAGATGCTAGGCGATGAGTCAATCATACAACATTTAGAGTCACCTCTTTGTTGCTAAGACATTTATTCATCTATATTTGTTTATACAATTTAACAACACTTTTAATGGTAAATCAACCTAAGAACAAATGTTATGTGATTAATTTAGCATACATCACTGAGAGTAAATTTAGATGATGAACTATAAAAAATCCCTATCTTAACAACCATTAAGTTAGCAGTCTGACAAGTGTCAGGTTTTACCTTAGGACATAATGATCTTAGTTGCAGATGCACAACAATCAATTTTAATATTTAATTAAGGATTGAATCCGAATGAAAAAGAATGCACATTAAAATTGTAAACCAAGAATTAAGCTAATTAGCAAATAAACACATATTCTCACGTGTAAAAGCAATAAAAAGCAGTAAATTAGAACGATATACAGCAATATATTAATGATGTTGGGCATTCAGAGATTCTTTAAGGGGCATGGACATATTGATTCAAAATAGGTTCTAAAAGGCAATCAAATCTCTTCATTCTAGAACTTAGTGTTTTATTACTAACTCAAACTTGTGATA